GAACTATGTTCATCCCTCATGCTTCAGGGGAACTGCCCTACTCTTTTTCCATCTTATTGAAATAACAGCAGCCAAGTTTCCTCGATGATCAATTTATTTATTTATTTATTTGGTTGGTTGGTTTTTCGAGACAGGGTTTCTCTGTGTAGCTTTGGAGCCTATCCTGGCACTCGCTCTGGAGATCAGGCTGGCTTCGAACTCACAGACATCCACCTGACTCTGCCTCCCGAGTGCTGGGATTAAAGGTGTGCACCACCAACGCCCGGCCAATGATCAATTTTTAAAGATTTATTTGTTTATTATATTTACAGTGCTCTGCCTAGATGCATGCTTGCACACCAGAAGAAGGCACCAGATCTCATTACAGATGGTTGTGAGCCACCATGTGGTTGCTGGGAATTGAACTCAGGACCTCTGGAAGATCAGCCAGTGCTCTTAACCTCTGAGCTATCTCTCCAGCCCCTAAATGACCAATTTTAAACAATAGTTGAGAAAGTGTTCAGAGAATCGAAGTAAACAAAATACCAAATTCTCTCAGAAACAACCATGGGTATTTATTAAGTACACTAAGAATTCAAATAATACTCATTGGGACAAGCATTATGACAACTAAATTAGGGCATTAATACTATCATCAACAAAATTCAGACAATAAGAAGAAAGCCACCTTTGTAGCTCTGCCATCTACAATATGAATCAACAGTTGAGAGATGCTCAACTCTGATGAAGGAAACAGACATAATTCAACAGCTTCACTCATCCTACCCAGCAGACACCGGAGGACACAGGAGAGGCCTATCCTATTCATCGGGGTTCTCTAGAGTAGCACAACTCATAGAATGAATCTCTCTACATATAGACATAGGATTTATTACAAGATTTATACGCTGCAATCCAGCTAATCGAGCAATATCTAACTTAGCATTGACGAGACTGGATGTCTCAGCTGGTCTTCAGTATATGCTGGAATCCTAAGGACATAGGCTGCAATGCCAGTGAAGGAATGGATGTGCTAGCAAGGCGAGGGCAAGCAGACAGGGAACAAAAGCTTTTCCCCACGTCTTTATACACCTTGCCCCCAGTGACATTTAAGGTAGAGTTTTAAACTAGCTAGAGAGGACGGAGTGAGGCTTGGTGGGTTAGGAGCACTGGCTGTTCTTCCCGAGGACTGGAGTTCTAGAGCAGCAACCAAATTACAGCTCATAAAACGGTAACTCTAGTTCCATGCTCTCTTCTGGCCTCTGTGGGCACACTCACTGCACATGTGTGGTGCACAGACATGCATGCAGAACAACCACCTATAGACAGGTAGCAATAATAATAACAGGACTAGCCACAGACATTTGAAAGAAACAAAGAAACAAAGGGACACAGTAGGAAAGGACAACATTAACCTACCCTTTTCAACAATGGTGTGATTCATATGTAACCTACCTGAAGACAGCACCAAAACCTTTTATACTTGACAAATGCCTTTGTAGTATTAAAATATAAAGAATTATCATGTACAAACCACCAGTTTAGAGTATACCAATAATGGGCATGTTGAGAAATAAATTAGAATAACAACCCACTCTCAGTAGCTCCAGATCTCACTCAAAATACCATTTAGTGTGTTCATAATTCTCAGTCATGACGGAATTAAAAAGAACACAACTGATATTCCATCTCACCCTAGCCAGAATGGCTAACATGACAAAAAAAACCAACAAACAAACAAACAAAAAAAAAACTGAGGGCTGGAGAGCTGTGAAATTAATTGAAAGAGGAGAACTATGGAAGTAATTACAAGTACCTACTGCTTTCCAGACTACCTGGATTAAAATACAAGGACCAACATGAAGGGGATTCAGTGCTTCTCCCAGGGGACCCAATGCCCTCTTATGACCTCCAGAGGCACCAGGCAGACAGACATACATGCTGCCAAAACTAATGTATACATAAAATAAAATAAAAATAAAAAACAAAGGGGAAAAAAAAAGGAGGCGTGTAGGGAGAAACCACAGAGGCAATTGTAACTGTGATTTGCTGCTAGCCTTGTATACATACCAATTTTCACAATGACAGCTATATAGTAAGTATCCCCCCAAAAAATATAAACCTCAAATATAGCCAAATGCCCAGGAATACATTTGAAGAAATGGCAGGAACGCAAACTGTTGCAAACAGTAGACATCCCTTCAAAGGTTTCAGAAACCACCAATATTGCCTTCCAATGCTGAGGGATACAAAACTGTTCCAACATGTATAGATCTATCAATTTAAGACAGTAAATATCTAGACTGTAAGAAGGAACAGAATCATGTCAATATAGCAATCAAACACCTGGGGGAAATTATCACATTTGCCATTAGCAAATATTTGAAGAATCTGTTAATAGGAGAAACATGACTCAGCATTATAAACACTAGAAGGCACAAATGTAAAGCCAACATTTTATTAAATGAGGAAAACTGGAAAGATTCCAGTCTCCTCAGGACAGAGACACAGGTGTCCACATCTGTCCACACTAACTCAGCCCAGTGCATCAACTGTTACCCGGAACAAGGAGGAAAGAA